GATACACAAGTTCACATGAAGAGTGATTAGTCACCTCCAGTATACACTGTCTTGTATGAGGTAATAATTAATGAGGTGATGATTAATACAAGTCTCTTTGTGTCGATGGTCTAGTATGAGTCTCCTTATTCTTGTCTTATACTTATAGTTGGCAGCCGTGCCCAGCCATTGATAGCCTTGGACTGCGTGCTCGTAATCCATTAGTGACTGGAGAATGAGTAGTATTGACTTAGTAGACAATGAAGTATGCCTTAGATTCAGTTCAACTAGTGATGAGTTATTGAGGACGAGGTAAGAAAGAGCCCGTCCACTAGCAGAAGAGATGAGTGGATTATCATAAAGATATAATGAGGTAAGTGTAGAGTTGTGTTCAAGTGCTCGACAGATATTAGTAACTCCTCTATCACTAATGGAGTGGATACTGATGACTAGTTCTTGTATTGTTTTATTATTAGTTAGTAGTATACACAAGTACTGGATACAATCATTAGTTAATGGAGTGGACCGTATCTCAAGTCTCCTCAGGTTTAGTGTATGCAGTTTAGTTGATGATAGTAGAGATACTGTACTATTAGTAGATGAGTAACGGAGATCAATCTCCTTATGATTATTATTAATATTACTAATCACTTCATTACACTGAACTGGAGATGGAGAGGTAAGGGATACACTGTCACTGCCCCGGTTTATGCTCCCAGTGACTCCTAATATAAACCAAAGGATTATACTTATACATGTATGTACATAATAATACACATATTCACATCATGTGTATATACAAAAACGCACAACTTGCTAGTTGTCACTACAACCAATAAACAAATACACACACACAATACATATGTACATACATACACACATGTAATGTGTACATATGTAGGGACAGGAATATAATGTATAAAATTACATGTACATTGTACATGCTACATACACAAGTATACATGTACACATGACATTACATGTTCATTAATAATTATACTGACTGTCACAATAATCACAAATATTACCTTTATCATGTTGTTCCTTGTCTTGTCTCAGTGCAGATATCATAATAGGATCATCATTAATAGTCTCCAAGAAAAGAGAAGCTTTCTCATCATTACTAGATGAATCATTCCTTATCTTCTGTAGAATAGGAAGGGACACTTCTTCCACTGACAGTATAAACTCTAACAATTGAAGTGACTCCAACATTGAGTAAACACAACTACTAGGAATGTCTCCCTCATCACCAGACACCAAGGATCTTCCTTTCCACCAAAAACTACTCCACTTGTCATATATCTCCAGCTGCTTTTCCTCTCTGAATGAAAGATCACCACCCCATATTCCATGATAGTTGATACGTGCTGTGTAAATAGATTCTGCTGTTGGTGATTGTGTCCACTGATCCTTCTCTATACAATATACTCAATCAGTTAATGATTTAATTACTAACATATCACATACTCTCAATATTTCCCTTTTCACTCATCAGCAGT